CAAATTACTATTCGTAATTTTCTTATTTTTCACAATCATTGGAATTAGGTGGGAAATCGGATAGTGTGACAATTTATACTTAGAACTTTATTGTAGTGACTTACATCATTGTGCTTAGTTTTTTTTTTTCGATCTTTACTGTTTAGCAATCTGTCCATTATTGATATCACTGATGTCCTTATAAAATCATTAATCAAAAAAACCTCAAAGACTCAAAAAAATGCTTGCTGACCAATGGTAGAATTACTTATTATGCCATTTCAGTGGGTAAGAAAGAAATAATTTTGCGGTCCTTAGATCTTATATTTTCTGGTAGTTTCTCTTCGACAAAACAATAACCTCGAGGTGAGATATAAGTTTGAATACTAACTGTAAGCCGAATCACATCGTTTTACGATTGAAATAAGTCGAAAATCTTGTGATATCATTGGAATGTAAACATTTTCAAAAGCATAACATAAATTTCAGTTTGATTCTAACTTTTTAACTTATTAATGCTTTCATCAGAATTTGCGAGTAATATTTTGAAAGTTTTCTATTAATTTTTGGGCAGACAAAAAATTCCCTAATTTTCTATGCCAATTTTCCAAACTTTTCAACAAACAAAATTAGTAAATTTATCCTTATGGATATAAAATAAATTCAACATTCATCTTATTTCTCATTTCGAAGTTAGTATGATTAAAAAGTATAGAATTTGTTAAAAATATAAAATTTCTAATGTACTACATGTATGGCAATTCTTCTCAAAAGAAATACTAAACAATCAATAGAAAAGTTGAAAATGCTACAAACTACAAACACAGATAATTTTTCCGAGAAATAAATTTGATAATTTCAGGTTAAATTTTCAATATTTAACAAATTATAAAGCTGTTCCTAAATTTTTAAATTAAAAGGTAAAAAAAAAAGTACAAATCTGGTGTAAAATGCATAAAATGATATTTTTATTCTGAGAAAATAGATATAACTATTACAGCTTACAATCATAATTAACGTTCTATGTAAATTTTTAATGATGGAAATATTATTTAATAAGTAAAGAATTTAATCAAGATGGAACAAAAAAATGATGAATTCTCAAATTTTATACAATGTCAATATTTTTTTAAATTTTGTAATTAATCTCTTTCATCAATTTTATCGATTGATCGGTCGATAATTGTTCGAATAATAGTGATTGTAACGGATATTGCAATCGAATTAACATGTATTATTAGAACGATGATAAAACTATGTGATTATCATAAATTAGCATAAGATTTGAAATTTTGCAAAGAATTTCAAATAGTATGTAAGAAAGTGGAAGAAAGAGAGAGAGAGAGAGAGAAGGAAAAATTTTCGAATGGTTACATCAAATTTCAAAATTAACAAAAAAATGTGAATTATCAATTAGTAATACTAAATTTGATAGAAAAAAAAAAAAAATGAAAATTTCTCAAATCTATAAAATGTAAATTATTAATTAGTATTACTGCATTTAATTACAATATAAATAGCCATAAATAATAGCTCATACAGTTATTACATTTTTTCCTTTCATTTGATTAATTAGTTTCATTACCAATCATAAATTAGCTATTGTTTTTAAGACTATGAATTTTAATGGATTTGAATAAATGCATTTATCAGAAATAGTATTAACATGTGAAATAGCTGTAAAAATGTATAGAAATATTTTAAGCAAGAAAAAAAAATGGAAATATTGTAAAATTATGATGAAGATTATAGGTATCATCGATTGTATATCATTATCAGATGTGTTTAAAAGTGTTAAACGGTTGAATGATAAATTAATGTGTAACCGATCAGAAAATACCGGATAGGAGAAATGTATTTCGAAAATCTTTGATAAACTTATAACAATGGCTGATAATTCTTACCCATTATTTTGGCAATCTTACCAAGTAGTTAAATTAGCTGCTTATGAAATTATGAAATTAGTATGCTATTGCTAGGTTGAAATGGAGTGGAGGAACTTGAAATGCATTTATTCGATCTTTTTTATATTTTTTTTAAGCAAAACAACGAAATGATTTTTATAATAAAAAAAAACAATAAATTTAATAGTAATAATACAATGCGAAATGGTCAAAGTATTTATTTTTTAAAATTATTTCATTAATTTGGTTATTAGTTTTCAGTAATTTTGAATTTTAAGGTTTTCTTCTTTTTATTAAATTCGCTTAATTCAATTAAATCCGTCATAGAATGCATTGCTAAAATTTTTTATTTCCAAATAATCCCAAATATTATTTTTTATTTCTAAATAATCCCATTCTCAATTACTATATACTTATTTTGATTCCTAAAATTCATATTTTTTTTCTTTAACTTTCATTCACTTGAATAATTTATCTTTCAGATAGTTTATTCGATGCATTTTGACGTGTTTGACGTATTTCTTGGTTTATCTTACGGATGCTCAATTTGATGCATTTTGACGTGTTCGACGTATTTCTTGATTTATCTTTCAGATGCTCTATTTGATGCATTTTGATGTGTTTAACATATTCCCTGGTAATTTTTCATTCATGTATTCAAATTATATTCATCATAGATATAAAACTTTAGGTGGATATGATAACTAGGAAACTTTGAGTAATATTGCGCAAGCGTACCTATCATTTGCGTAAGATATTTTGCGCTGCGCTGCGTGAACTACAACGTTACTTCTAAAGGAAAACGTGGCATCCGTTAATCTTTGCGCTTTCATGGTATCATAGATAAAACGGAAAAAAAAATGTCCAGTCATTTTTGATCTTGAAAAATAATACTCTTACAAGAAAACGAGTCAAATCTTGGAGAGAATTAGAGATTGATAAGAATGAGAAAAACCTGAAGAAAAGAAATGAAAGCACGACATGATATATTATAATATTTACGGAGTTAGATTAATTCCTCCAGTAGAATACAACAAACGATTATTAGTGAAATCATTTCTATTGTTAGACGTTAAAGATGTAGAAAGCACTGTTAGATAGGAGAGAGTAGAGATCGATAAGATTAGCGGAAGGATGCAATTGCGAATGAGTTCAAAGGGGCTTCATTAATACAAGGTAATGACGGTGGAGGTTATTTCTTAGCAAATTAAAGTTCCCTTTTTTTTGAAGTCTCTTCTTTTCTTCACTTTCGGTTTTTGATTAGTTAATTTAAATTAATATGATTAGTCTCTTCTGTCTCTTTAATTCTAATAGTTTCTCTGTTTTTTCCTAGCTTACACTGCAATTAATTTATTCAAAAATAAAGAAAGAATTCCTTTTTCTTTTCAGTTAAAGAATGTTATTGGAAAAAGATAATCGAATATTAACGATAGCTATGGAATCATTGGTGCAGGATTTCGAACCACGTGATGCTATTCCATTTATGTGTTCGGAGGAAATTTTCAGTGATGATCAACAAGAAGTTATCCTTGGCATGGTTGGTTTACTTTTTTCTTTTTTTTTCCAATTGCAAATTTAGTATTTCAAGGTTTTTTTATTATGGATGGTTAACATATTTTGTTCGTTCAAATTCTTGTCTTTCCGTGTTTTGCACGTTTCATTGCCTTATTTCTACTCCATATTTATTTCACTTGGCACCATTTGTCAGTTTGCATCTTTCAACAAATCCTTCAAATTTACAGGAATAACTAAGTAGAAATAGTAACTGTCTAAATGTGTCTATATTTTTTGTCTAAATTTTATAGTTTTAAAATTAGTAAAGTGAGCTATGCTATTTTGAGGAAGCACTTCAGTAGTTAATGTCATGAAATTTTATGGTTGTTTGAGTTGGATTGACATGAATTGGTCATCATAATCACGTGAAAATGCATTTCAAGTCCCATTTCATGCATGACATCAAATTATTACTTTTTCTTATATGTAATACCTGCAAATTGTTCTTTGCATGTTATGTCGAGATATGGGAAGGTATATTGTTAGGAAATAATATATCCTTTATACTAGGAAGTAATTAGAAATTGTTGACGGCGAATGTGGTGAGGCAGTTCATGAAATGAATATGCTGCACTGTGTCTGGCAGGAGATTCGATTAAATACGATATTATGTGGAAGGGAAGGACTTTCATGCAATGATGATACATTGGATAATTCTACAGTGTTCTAAAATTAATTCACTGCAGAAGAATCTCATGAAAATTTCCAAAAACTTCTTCAACTTCCGAATCTGCATTTGTTCACTGTTACCTGTGGCGTAAACTTATTTGCGTCACGCGTGTTCAAATTCATATTCACTTATAGACAACACGCACGTTACGTGTGATGGAATTTATTCGACAGTATCGGAAATCAGCGAACACCCTTAATCCATTAATAACATATTTCGAAAAATACGGACAGAAGCATTTGGCGCAACTTTTATCGAAGGACTACATACCTGAAGAACGACCTCTGTTAGCGCCTAATGTACTGGAAGATCGACTTTTTCGGGAAGGAAATGTGCCGAGACTACCTTTTTATCGTGTGTTACGAGTAAATCTTCTGGAAAAATTAAAGAATTTACTAATCGATTTATCATCGCAAGGTTTCAAATTTCCAAAAATTTCCGTAGAAATTCCGATTTGTATTTTCTGAGGTGGGTTAGAAATTCCTTGGTATATGTTGTTTTTCTAAAAAATTTATTTGTATCAAGCAGAGTCTTCGAAATTTCTTCATGGAACTTTTTAAGACCGCGGGATTTATTCAATTAGTGGGGATAAAGGTAGTGAATAACAAAAACATGAACGAAGTAGATAGGGGATAAAAGAATAGAAAAAAGATCAAATAGACAAAGTGGAAATTGTCATTTGTGCATGTATTAATATTTTGAGTTACAATTTAATTTTGTACTACCTAAGTTCTTGTTGTATTTCCTGCAGTTTTTATTTGAGAAATTTGAATGGATTCTTAGTCTAGGTATTATATACCTTCTAAGTTCACAGGTTTATCAAATTTATGACGTTTTAATGCTTACTTGATTTTACAATTCTTCCAACTCAGTATCTTTTATCATAAATTTCAAACTTCAGGCAATTACAAACTTTTCTCATGATCTGTATTTCTCACGAGGTTTTATTGATTTGGAATTTGAATCCTAGATCCATTTCCGTAAACTTTTCCATAATTTGTCATTCATATCATCCGTTTTATTAAGTAACCACTTGTCATTGTAGATCAGTTTTGGCTTGTTGTTCATGGGTTTCCTGGATGTGGAAAAAGTTTTTTGGCTGCTACTGTTCTGCATACTCATCCAATATTACTAAGTCGGTAAGGTTCACAGCAGCTACTACTTTAGCTGCCTTTTTTTTGTTGCAAATCTGACCATACTTTTAATGATCCTTGTTGGTTCCAAATTACCCTGGAAATACTCGTTTTTTTGTTCTTATTTTATTTTATTCATTTTTTATTTTTTAATTTGAACGAATCGAAATCTGTGCAGTTTTTATAGCTTTATGAATTATTTGATTTTGCAGATATTACGAACACGTTATATGGATTGAGGATGGCCGTACCAATGCAAGTCAGCTACCTGAAGTTTTTTCAAATTTCGTTTTTTTGGCGACCGATGCATTAGTTTTAACTGGAAAGGAAACCCCTGTTCAATTTTTGCCGTTAGTAAGTTTTTGATCGACAAAATACGTTGTCGGGAAGCATTTTCATTGGCAAGATATTGCTGTTGAGTATTTCCATCACTATTTATCATAAGCGATGAATTTTCTCATTTATCAAGGAGTCTAGATAAACGTAGAAATATTACCGTGATACGGTTTTCTTTCTGATTTTCATATCAAAAATCTTTATGTGTGACCCATCGATGATTGCTATTTATTTCAGGCCAAAACTGCGTTACGTGAGAAACCAAATACATTGGTAATATTGAATGATATTTATCTTCAAGAAACTGTGCGTTGGTTCGATCAGCTGAATGTTAGTTTTCTTTTTTGGAAATAAATAACCAAATAGCATACCAATTTTCCAATTTTTTAATTGTCACATACTAAGTGCCTTATTCATCGTTTCGCATAACTTTGGAAGTAAAATAAGCTGATTTACCATCTCTAGTCTGCGTTATGTTGCGCAAATGTATAATATTAAATCTTTCTCCTGTTGTCATACTAATATTTCCTTGAATAATTTAATTTCAGTGCCGTATTCTTGCAACAAGCCGTAACTTGGAAATATTCCAAGTATCCTCTTCAAATCCCATATATTTTGCAGTTGATCCACCTGGTTTTTCTTTGACGGAAACAGAGATTCTGTTCCAACAATTACACTCTTGCACTGCAATGGCCTCATCTTATAATGAACATCTTTTTCATATTCACAAAAGAACGATGGGCCTACCAGCTCTTCTCGGCATAGTGAGACAACAAGCATGCGATATTCACAATGAGTATCTTTTGATTACTTGATTTCATTCCAAAAAATTTTATTTTTCATAATCTTTTTTCTATAAGAAGAAATAAATTCCTATTTTCGTTTTCAGCTTCTATAATTTACGTTACTTATTGAATTATCACGCTGTTACAACCATATCAAATTTCACTTTCTACAAGTACAAAAATATGGTTGATGCTATCATGGAGTCCTATAAATCTGTAAGTCTTTTGGAATATGTTTATTTTCTTCAACAGGAGAATAGTTGAAGAGTTGTGGATTTGGATTTTTCATTCAAAAAACTTTTTTTTCATTTCTAATATATTCTAGTATTTTATTTTTTCAAGTTATAGTGTTAATTTATGGTCGAAATAAACATTCGACAGAAAACATAGAATTTATTCGTTAATATGTCATTTTTCTATACTACAGAACAGAAAGAAGGTAGTGATATGGATTAAAGAATTTTTGATGTCCAGAGGTAGCAAGAACCAAAATTATCAAAAGAGGATTCTGATTTCAAAATTCGAAGAGTTGAATTCACATTTACTCATTTTACGATCATTCCCCTCATTTTCTCTGGTATTGCCGAAATGCACTTGTACTCAGAGCGTGGCTTCCTTCCTTCATCTTACTTTGTACCTCCTTATTTCCTTCTTCCACCTCCTCAAACCGGAATAAAACAATCCAATGAAATTAGCTGAGTTAACCAGTGGCAATATTTCCATTCTCAAATTCTACTACTATCTCATGCTAATTCTTTACTTCTTATACGAAGTATCTTTATGTTGGATAATTTTTGGATACATTTCATTTTAGATAAATATTTTAGATATTTGAAATAAGTGAAGCGTCCCAGCATGAAATCTGCTAGGTTTATCTTGGTTAAATTTTACTAACTGCATATTGTTTCAGCTAACTAAACGTCAAAAAATGATTATGGAAACTTTTATCATTTTTGGCTATAGTCAGTGGATACCGCTAGAGGTGATTTTATTAAATTTTGGTAAAAAAAATACCTATCGGGAATGTTTGTGTGATTGTTGACTAGAACGTATCGACAACAGCTAAATCAATATAGAAATGCAATGGCAGCTAAATCAATATAGCAAAGAATATTTCTCCTAATGTCTTCAAAATTCTCCTCATGACAAGTAAAGGTTATAACTAAATCCTAATAACTTTTTGATATGCGCTTACTTGATATTTGCATGCAATTAGTTTTCTTTTAGTTGGTTTCACTGTGTATTCCGTTCGATATATCTGGAGACCAAGATATTTTGTATATGGTATTGCAAGAATTAGAACCGTTGGTAAAATCATCATTATTGGATAAAAGAATTGCTGCTTTGGATGGCAAAGTAGATAATGATATGCCGTTGATGTATGATTTTCACATCAATCGTATCATGCATTCCTTTCTTTGTGTTACAGTTGATCGTCAAGCGATTGAAGTGAGTTACTTTTTTTTTACAAATTGTTATCCAATTTCCTCTAGGAAAAGAAAGGTATTTCAAAACCTTTCTCAATCACTAGATAGATTAATTGGACTTTCCAGCTCATATATTGCATAATTTAGGATAGTAATATAACTTGATATGTTAGCACTGATTTATAGGTGGAAGATGCAGTAATTTGTGAATTTTCTAGAATTGATCATTGCTTTGCTTTACTTCAGGATCGCCTTCGGTTATTCATCCGTCCTAGCGTTTTTTCATTTTTGTTGAGACATCGATGTATGGACTCGAATTTCACGCAACGTATTCGATCTTACGTGGACCTTCGTCCATCTTTATTCCAAGAAGTAGTTTACGAAAACTATAGCTCCCAAATTGGATTGGTCGGACAATATGTTGGAGATGGTTCATATATTTGGAATAATAACTGTTATGACAACGAATCTGATGATAATCTGATTGCAAGGAAGAAACCAAACAGTACTGCCAGAAATTGGACTGATAGCTGTATTTTCATGTGAGAACTCGGAATTTCAGTACTTGGACATTAAGCTTCACGATATATTCCAGGATACCTCCGAGAGTCACGAATACTTTATAATTTTTAAAATTTCATAATTGCGTGTTCGTTCTTATTTGATTCCAGAGCTGCTTTTATTTTTCTGGAAATGTTACCTTCGTGGTCTTAATTGCAGTTACATGCTCTGCTGCTATCGATAATTATGCTTGAAAGCTTAGAAATTGGAAGCAAACTTGATTACGATCTTGATTCCTGAATCAGTTTTCAGTCAAGTATGTTTTTTTAACACAGCGATGGAGATTATTTGTCATTGAGTAATTTCTGAACATATCTGTATTCTGTTGTACAATTGTATATTTTATTTCCCTAGTTGTTTTCTTTTTTGCTTTAACTTCTTTTACAGTAATCTCTTATCATACGTATTTTTGTTTAACGTATTTTGACGTGTTTTATGCATTTCCTGGAACATTTTCAGTTGAATGGTGCTTTTTATTTTTGGTGCTTGTTTTTGTTTTCAATGGATTAATCGTGTTTGATCTAATACTTGCATTCCAGTTTCTCTTTCACTTGATTTTTACTTACACCATTTCACTTTTTCTGCTTGCTTCATATACTGCTTAATCAGTTTGCGCTATTGATCTTTGTATTACTTTGGTTCGTACAAGTTCATTTTAATAATCCTTGTCATTTTTTTTCAGACAATTTTGTTGGGTATTTTTATTGTTGACATTTTTTGCATTCTCGTTTATTTTAGCCATGCAATGTATTATATATTTTTTTTATTGATTTCTTTTTAGTTTTGTTTAGTTTGTTTCGTCAATTTCACTTATTCCAGTCTTTGTTACTCATTTTTTATTACGATTACTATGATATCAGTGAATTTATTATGATCCGGTTTTAAAGTATTTTATTTTTATCAAAGTCGTCTTTTTGCTGAATAATCGACCATTGATGCTATAAATCGTTGTGAATATATTTCCGCATATGTACATCTACTAATGTACGTCATATATATTGCAAACTATCCGAAATTTTTTCTGTTGGTACTAATCTGAGAAAAAAAAATGGATTACTATCTTTATGTGGCATTTTACCATATAAAGATAGAAAAAATCTCAAATCTTCACTGTTTTCGTTCATTACATTGAGATTGAGATATCAGTTAGTTGTGATTACCTGCATAACAAAATTGTTGTTATTGTGCAGTAAGATTTGTTAAATAATTCTAAAATAAGAATTTTTCTTGGATGATTACGGTATAAAACATCTGAGAGGTCGTTGGAAAAGTTAAATGTCAAATAATGAAATCAATTATCAACAGTTTGTTATTCTGATAGTATAGGTTTAAAATTTTTGAACTTTCAGATCAATTTTTTGATTCTGTTGATTGGGGAAGGCAATTGAGTCCTGGTAGATGAAAAGGCTCAATTAGGAAAAAAGTCATTTTGAAAAAAGACCATGACAATCACTAAATTGTTTTACTTGGTGATTGTTGAGGTTTTTCTTTTTCTTGTTATGTGCGGAAATTTAACTCTTTAAAAGTTTTTGCAAAAATTAAAGCTTGAGATTTGCATATTCCGAAAAGAGAAGTATTTATCTAAGAATTAGTTACGAAAATAACTTATTCGTATAGTTACAATTATTGTTTGCCCCCATTTAACCACCGGACGATATTGCTTAACTTTTCACCTAGTAAAATTGTTTCCGGTTACTTTTGGTTTAATTTCATCTGCTTACTGCTAACTTCAACCCTTCCGTACATCCAGAATTCACTATCAAAATCTTAATTCTCTTTATCCAGTACATAGATTTACATGATACCTGAGAACTTTCGGAAATGACAATGAATTCACTGAATGGATTTTTATATAAGCATTCAATGCTTAGCTAAAAAAGAGTTTGCTTGACATTTTTCATAACAAATTGCAGCAATCAAGAGATACAAAGGGGAATTTATTAAATTTCAGCATTTTTTTCAGTGATTTAGAAAAAAAAAAGAAGAAAAAAGAATGCGAATAAAAGATGATCGACAACCTTTATTATATGATAGGTGTAAAATTTGAATCTTCAGAAGTTTCTTCTCTTTTTTTAAAATAAATATTTCTCAAAGATTAGAGTGTTTTAATTTGAAGTGAACAACTAAGATCAAAGATTAAAGTTGGATTTAGTAAACGATTTGTTTATTTTAATTTTCATTTAACCAATTCCAATTCTAATCTTTTATTCGAATTCATCGAATATTCGAACACTTTGTATCTTTTGTTTCAATAATTATCTTTAATTAACTGCTTTCCATGATTTACTTCTTTACATTTCTTTTTTAAGAGTAATTTCGACGAAATTTTTACCTGTTACCGATATTCCTAATACGGCTCGTGTAAAACTCGTACTGTATAATGTCAGTGAACGACCGATTAAATACAAATTGAAATGCGAAATGAAAACATTAATTACGGTAATTTTTTATTGTTTCCTTCTCATTTCTTTTTCATGGATTTTAGTTATGCGGTTAATAGTTTTGCATGATATAGAATGCAATTTCTATCTTTAATTTTTTCAGGCTGAACCACAAGCTTCCGGTATTATACCGGCTCATGGTGTTGGTTCTTGTTTACTGATATGGCGTCGAGCACCAGAGATAAGTAATTGGAAAGATTTGAAGACAACCTCATTGGTAATGATAACAGAATTTGAAGGTTCCGATGATCCAATTATAAACGAACATACTGTCACAAAAATTAAATGTACATTAATCTTTTAATTAGATTTCAATAATTTCGTTTCATTCAATAATTTTATTTGATAATTTGAATCATCAAGAAAAAAAACATATTATAATGATTATATATAGTGATTTTATTTATAGTGATTATAATGATTTTTTATAATGATTTTATTATACCATAAATTAATGCTAGTTGATTTGTGAATTGAAATGAACTAATATCCAGCAATACTTATTTCAGGATTCAATTGTTTTTAGCAAACGATGTTCTTCTAACGTATCATACATATATTAACTACCTTCACATTATCTTATCTTATCATATCATATAAATAGGTTCCAGTAAGAGATACTGATACTGATAATCTATTCGAAATGAATTTAAACTGAAACATATTTGATATAAACAAATAACCAATTGCATAGAATATTAAATATTTTTTTATTCAGGTCGTATATCATCATCAGCGATGTGTAGTAGTACGAAACCACCGGAAGAATATGTTACTTTTAAAAGTTCCCTTGATTCGGTATTACCACGAACTCCAAATCCAGAATCAAAAGTAACTGCGCCAGTTACAGGATTACAATGTTCACCAAGCACATCTGAAATAAAGTCGAAAAATGTTATGGCGTAAGTTTATCACGATTATTCAAAAATCATTCGTTTATTTCATTTCTAATGAGAGCGCACTCATGTGGTTAAACATGAAAGATTTTAAAAAGTAATTAAATGAGTATAGATTATATCATTAATTAGAAACCTTTTTTTTTTCTTTTCTGAAGAATAAATAATTATTATAACCATCAAATGGATAATATTTTGATACAGTTTAATAATATCATTAATTAATTTCATTCGTTCTATCGATTTCAAATTACCTAATTTTATTTGATTGAATTACCGTTCTATCGATTTCAAATTACCTAGTTTTATTTGATTGAATTACCTAATTCCATTTGATTCAATTTTAAATTTTATAGTGTAAACAAACGTGATTTATCAACTAATGCTTCCGAACATTCGGCAGGATTTTATATAGAAGCTAAGGGTGCAATTATCATTGCATTAATTATTGTAATCATTATCTTATGCATTCAGGAACTTCTGAGAATCAAATCTGAGCCTGAATAGAATATCCTAAATATCTGTTTCATCTATAAAAACAAACAAATTTAATTGTACTTTCTTACCCACTGTTTTTATGTAATAATAAAAGTTATGGTAACTTATATCATTTTCTTTCCCGCATTCTCAATAATTATCACTTCATTAGAGAAATTATTCGGTAACATTTACTTGTAAAATTCAAAATTTGCATAAAATTTACCGCAGATATATTTCGAAATCTCTTTCAAAATCGCTTTAAACAGCTTTCATTTTATATTTATAATTGAAATTTTAATAAAGACACTTCATATACAATTTAAATGTTTGCATGCGGTGTATTTGTATTACTCTTTATTCTTACAATCGATGTTACGGAAAATTTGGTTTAAAATTTGAATTTTTTTTTCAAAATTTTTAAAATTTATTTTTATCATCGAAAGTCGACACTGAAATATGCTTGATATTATGAGAAATAATAAGAAGTCGATATAAATAAAATACTTTTTCCAACTGCAATTAAAACTAAAATTTAGATTTCAATTTTTCAACTTGACTCTAAATCATCACTATTTTCTTAATTTTGAAATAGTCATATTTTTGAAAATTCTTTACATATACAACATTTTTTTTTTAACTGTAATGAATAATATACGACAAATCATGTAACTTTTGTTATTCAGTTTCTAAGTTTTAATCCTGATAACCTTTGTAGAACAATGTAAACGAAATAAATTTACTAATGCGAAGTGTACTTGCCTTTCGACGTATGAGATACGGTCATTACAAATATCCGGTAATAATTCCTTTTTCTTTCACACTTTAAAGCTCATAAGATGGTGTTAAAATTTTTTTGTTTTCAGAAAGTATTGAAAGTTATAAGTGATAGACAGATATTAAATACGTATATCGATGAAAACCCGAAATTTGATGAGGTTAAAATTTAATTTTAAAAATTTTTGACGGAAAAATTTAAGTAATATTTTGAAGGAGTTATTTCTTGAAAATATCAGAAGTTAGTAGATTGAAAAGTTCTTAAACTTATAATATTAATAGCAAATATCGTGATAAATATTATCTAATCATTTAACAAAACATTTTTACGATATGATGCCAACCTGGCTATAAATAAAACGAACTACTTTATCAAATGTAAGCTACTGTAAACTAATGTGTGCTACTGTAAGCTAATTGATGTGAGCTATTACTGATGTAAGTGTTGTTCTGTCCGACGATAACGTTCTTGATAGTTCTCGATAAGTTTTTTTTTTAATTATTTGATAACGTAAAATTCTTGCATCAACTTTTAGAATATACATTTATCGATTAATATCCTGATTTTTTAAAATTTTTTTTCCATTTTTTTAAATCCATCATATTGTACATTTGCAAAGTATTTTTTAAATAATTTCAATGTGCTTCTTTATAGTTCGAAATTTATAAGATTATTATTCTAATTAGCATTTGAAAATAATTAAGTAACAGTAAATTAATGTAATTGATAGGCTAAATTTAAAAAAAAAAAACCATTGTATTTAGTCTTGATGTTCATAAAATTCATTAATATAAAATTCATTAAATACATAAAATTTATTAAATTCAAAATTAAATAACATATTACAGTGAGATAAAAAAAAAAATTTAGGCATTAGTCCCTGGAAATGAAATTGAAGAAGAAAATGCAGCAAAATTGGTAAGTATTGCTTGCTATGATCGTGCTGGAATACCTTTTCCAGGTTTTCTATGCCCTCTGATAAAAATTATGGCGCATCAATATGGAAATTGGCGTAGTAAGGTTTGGATTTTTCCTTTTTTCTTTTTTTTTCTTTAATTTCATCAATTTTTAATAAAAATATTATATTGTATGAGATAAAGGCAATAACAACGTTCTTATTTCATTTTCAAAATTTTTATTGTTGTCAATTATGCTGCTAATTAGTTATGCTGCTAATTCATTTCAAATTTGCATATGCTTCAATTTTATAAAAATTATTTTAGATAGTGGAAAATTCAACCTGTGAAGATTTGATGGATTTAAATACTCATCCATGCGATCATAATGTTAGTTCGTGCGTTTTATTGGCATTACCGAATAGCCATCTCATTTTGGGTTGCATGGATGATCATGTTTGTCATTTCCTATTCTTCTTATTAAGGATATGACGATATGGAATAGCTTCATCCCACCGATTTATTGCTTTTTTTTTTCTAAAAAGAAATATATATATATCTTTTACAATTATGTCTAAATTTTTTAATGAGTATATGAAGTGTAATTTTCTTTCCTTATAATGGAAATAAGCATTTTGTTGTAGAAAATCAATGATATTGCAAATCATTTTTTTATTTATTTAAATGTTTATTTCAGACAGGAAAATTTGTTGCACCACAAAAATGGGCTGGAAGTAATAAAAAATATGCGAATTATTTATTTGATTTTAGAGGTAATGATTCTGATCCTTTTTTTGAAATAAATTCGATCACGAAGATTCTTTAAAATATTAATCGATGGTGATGAAACGATTCAAATTAGCTAATGGATTAAATCGAATGGTTTGATTTTTCATGCGATGAACCATTGTTCAGAAGCGTAATAATTGGATAGAAATATGTAACTTGAAAATCAATGAGGATTATTTCCACACAAAATTAAGCTATGATAATGAGAAAGACTTAATTAGATCAGTAAGTAGTCTTAATCTAATTTCATAAGTAATGGTGAGTGGAAGATGACATATGTCAACTTTGAGTATTTTGTCTGTTTCAATTTTAATCTGGAAAAAATGGGTGAATGGAATCCATAAAAAATTTAATTGATTGTTTTGCTCTATTGATTAATTAAATTATATGCTTCCAGTTGACAATCCACTACATCTTTCACAACAATGCAGAAAATATAAGGATGGACGACCAGTATGTCTAAGAAATAATTTATTTTATCGGAAATTTCCAATTCTTCAACAATTTACATGTTGTTGTAAAGGAGATTTTTGTGCCGATATGCTCTTCGACCAGGTTTTACTTACAATTATTTTATCGAAATTTTATTACTGCAGAATTTTGAAAAAGTGAAAGGAACTTTAAACTTTGATAAAAAACCAACTTAAATAAAGAAATAAAAGCAAATTTAAAATTTTACAATGCTAAGATTTTTGAAAAAGTAATATGTTTTGATGCTTTTCCTTTTTGTTTTGTTTTTTTTTTTTTTAATAAATTAATCAGAATTTAACTCTTTTGGTTTTAGTTGGAAAACTGAAGAGGAAAAATATACAAAATATCTTAATGTTATGACGGAATTTTTGTAATCCATTTCAGATGAGTGGTGAAACATTCATCGGGTATATTTCTAAGCTGGTAGATGTGAGCAATAATAAAGTAGCCGATAGAACATATTTAAAACTAAAATAAAAAAAAGAGGAAAAGAAAACAACGTTTTAAAATGCGCAATTTAATTTTTCAGTCTGGTTTCAATCCATTACCATTCTTACATGTATCCGTTGACCTAAAAAATGTTGAAAACATCAATCAATGATGATACAAGCAATTCATGTTTAAGGCATTTTGAATCGCATCTAATTACACTAATTAATTTGCAACGTTTGTTTTTTTATCCTTTTATCATGCAAAATATGTTAAGTTCTATTCGTTTTTTCTTCTTTTTTTTTTTATTCTATGAAGAAGATATTAATCAATAATTTATGATTTTTAACATTGCAAATTACAGTGAAATATATTGATAACATATAGAATT